ATATGTATTAAAAGATGAACAGGTTCGTTTTCTCAAAAAGTTAGGAGGATTACACGGAGGAGGTTTAAACGGATCTATCCCTAGTATCTCTTCACTTCGTCCGAGAATTCCGTCACTCGGTTTCCTCTTCCACCCGCGCGACGAAAGAACGGATATCGTGAACCTTCAGTGACGTTAACTATCGCACATCACGCTACTAGTATCGATCGCCTCTAATTGACGAGATAAATTTGCGGACGCGTGCATGAACATTTTCTTTATTCGCGAAACGGCACGAGTGACGATCAGTTTAACGCCTTATTCTTTTCTCAAATTCGGTAGTCTTACTTCTTTCTACATTTAGCTAAAATGAATCAAAGCATGATTCATTGTAAAATGCAGTTATAATTAGCAGAATGTCGAAATAATCGAAACAGTTTGTCATGCTACTTTTTGTTTAAAGAGGTAATTTTTTTCAATAACGTTTAATAAAATAATTTCATATTTGGGAAATAAAATAATGGAAATCCAAAAGCGACAAGGCGTGGAGAGATATAAATGTGCGTTTTCAAAAGACAAGCTAACAATTGAATACTTTGATTGAAAAATTGAGATGTCTATTTAAATTTTTAAAAAGATTTATTTTGTTTTATAATTGCAATGATGATTTTTTTGTGACGTGACCTGATTTTTAGATAATTGTATTAGGTACTTTCAATTAGAATTTAATTTATTATAATTTATCAAGATCTTTTTTTTCGCTTACAATGACACGTATGTAACAAAATCATAATCTTGGGCTTATGTTCCTGTGTATCATCCTTAGATAAAAAGATCTTATTTGGTAACCGTTGAAATTAATAATTATGAATCACACGCAGGGTCTGTAACTTTGAAACATAATGACGCACTTTAATGTAAATAGGTTGAAATGATTAGTTGAATGACGTTTTACGACAGCATTTTAACTCGAATACTTTTATGGCTGTTAACGACCACTTAACAACTGTTATTATCTTCCATTTACTGCACACGTCGTGTCGGTCACGGCTGCGGTTAAAATATGCCGATACTAACGCACATGCGGTAATTAGTTAACAATTAATGTGTAAAACAGTTTGTCGGGAAGAAATATAAAGCATTAATCACGCGGCTTACATTATTTATCGATCAACTTAAATAAACGAGCAAATAAATTCTAATAACTGACCTTTAAAAAATGAAATGAATTGAACGCGATGGTATTTCGTGGAATTTAGCTTGATTACGTTATATATATTAAAAAGATAGTTTATGTACTGTTAGTTGATACTGTTAGTTTATGTACTGTTTGTTCGTACTGTTAGTCTAGATAATATTATTAATTATATCATATCGATGTTATAAAAAGAATAAATTTGCTTCAAGTATAAATTATAAAAAAGATCACATTTTTAATTGTAAAATTGATAAATTTTAATTAAACAACAAACATTTTAATTAACATAACAAATTCAATTTAAATTATTTTACTAAAAAGAATAAAGAAGAAAATTCTTGCCAAGAATACAGAATTTATTATATTTAAAAGTAAAATTTGCTTAAATAATACTCGGTATCTAAAAGAGAGAGAAAGAGAGAGAGAGAGAGAGAGAGAGAGAGAGAGAGAGAGAGTAACATTCGTTTCCTTAGAGCCAGTTAAAAAGTCGATATATTCTTTAATAAATTATACTATTTTTAGACATTAATTAAAGTAAACATATGTCCAACACATCAATCATTAATATCGATCAAAAAATATTCGCCGCAAGATAGTATTATAAAGTAATAATTGTAACAATCGAATTACACAAGATATATACCATTATGAGACCATAATTACTGAAAAGTAGAATTGATAGCATATTGACTGTTTCATCTCGGTGATAACGTTTTAAGATTGACACCGATACGCTATCAAATACTTTTTTACGTTTCTTGAATTTTCCATTAATCGTTGTTGTGATACCTAACGGATGCACTTAATAATTTTTAAATATACTTGTTTATTTTCCACTTTAAATATTTCTTTTGTAAAAAAAAAACAGTTGTACGTAGTGCATGAGAAATCATAGATGAACAAAGAAATCATTATTACTTTAATTCATTTTTATGTAAATGTATATAAAAATTTTTTGTTAATTTTAATATATAGATATGTACTTTAAATTTTTACAATAAAAAATCAAAATATTTTCTGTTGATGTTTTAAGTGGTATTAATGTAATAAATATATTTATAAATCATTAATTCGACAAAAAACACCGAAATTAAATCAATTAAAATTATAAAATAATTTATTAATATATTAATAAGTTATTACGTATACTGAGAAACAAGTTTTAAGTGGTATTAATGTAATAAATATATTTACAAATCATTAATTCGACAAAAAACACCGAAATTAAATCAATTAAAATTATCAAATAATTTATTAATATATTAATAAGTTATTACGTATACTGAGAAACAAGTTTTAAGTGGTATTAATGTAATAAATATATTTACAAATCATTAATTCGACAAAAAACACCGAAATTAAATCAATTAAAATTATCAAATAATTTATTAATATATTAATAAGTTATTACGTATACTGAGAAACAAGTTTTAAGTGGTATTAATGTAATAAATATATTTACAAATCATTAATTCGACAAAAAACACCGAAATTAAATCAATTAAAATTATCAAATAATT